TGGTCCCGCAACATGGGGCTAATACATCTGTCCAACTCCAATGTTTTGTCATGTTTTACTTTGTTATATTAAAAAAAATGAATGAAAGACAATCTAGCCATAGCCACTAGGGTAAAGATTAACAACTAAACTTTCATTTATATCTGTTGGGAGGGAGGAAATCAGTTTTTCTCATGGAGTCACTCCAGGGTGGACCTCATCTTTAGGAGGAGCTGACCAACATATAATGGACTCCATAGTTTTTTGGTATGCTTTTATTTGATTAGTTTGGTGTTTTGTTTTCTTGTTTCTTGGAGGTTTTGTTGTATTGGGTTTTTGTTTGTTTTTTGAAAAAGAACTTAGAGTTGGGTAGATGTATGAGGGGGAAAGGATCTGGGATGACTTGAGGGAGGGAAAGAATACAATCAAATACATTTAAATTTAAAAATTGCAAATAATAAAATTTTTAAAAAAAGACTAGCAAAGCTGTCAAGAACACATCTTTGAATCTCTGAGGTCAAATTTACATATTTCATTAGACATTTCTATATCTTGTCTACCAAACCCCAAATCATCACAAAGTCCTGTCATTTTATCTCAGGAAGTAAATCTCTCATTTATGTACTTTACTCTATTCTGTACTATTACCCTGACACAAATCAGAAAAGACCCACTTTGGGGAAGGGAAATATGTTAAGGGTGGAAGAATAGGGGGAAGACATATTTTAAGGTAGTGGTATAGAAAACAGAGCATATGAAAGGAGAATGATGAGGGAAAGAGTTTAAGTTGAGAATAGGATGGAAAGGTAGGGAAGAGGAGAGCATAGAGAGAGGGATAATTAGAAGTCATATGAAAACCCATTATATAAGCTTCCTAAACACACATGCACAAACATGCACATGTATCAAAGAGGTTAAATTCACATTATCCTACACAAGGGATACTGTTCTTAGCTCTAGATTGCTAAATAAAAAGTCTAATGCCAAATGAGGGGTGCCTTCTCTCAAGTTGTTGAGAGGGTTCCCAGAGCCACTAAAGCTACCTGGAAAAGAGACCCCATTAAACTGTTTAAAAGTTGTGCAGTGAACTCCAAGTTCCCAGCTTCCATGAGTTGTCACTCAGGGTGGGGTGTTACCCAAGTTGGGGTAAGCTTTTGGTGATGCAGCCATTTTTGGGTCATTTTTGCTCTTATAAGAAACTCTCCCCATACGTAACTCCCCAAAAACTTACTGGTTTACCAAGTTGGAGTTTGTTAGTATTCTTACTTTGGTACCATCTCTGGCAAATAGATGTTAGTTCATGTCCTCCCACAAACCAGGGATGAACTTAATCCTATTATTTTGCTAAATGGTCACAGTATCAAACTGCCTCCTAAATATGTACATAGATTTGGCAGTTCTGAGTCCTCAAAAGAACAGAGAATAAGTGTCTACGAAGTGCTTGACCATAAATGGGACTGTAAGAACCAGAGGCTAGCAAAGGGGCATACCAAACAGTTGTCTTCTGGACATGACAGGGCCAGCACTGTGTTGTGGAATATTAGTTGAAGATATGCTTATTTATATTGTGGAACATTTGTTTAATGATGCAAAGATATGTGCATTCTTTTATGTTGCATTTGTTTAACTTTGTGAAGCTGTGTAACATTGCCTGTCTAAAACACCAGATTGGTCAATAAAGAGGTGAACAACAACCTATAGTGAGGTGGGAGAAAGGACAGGCAGGGCTGGCAGGCAGAGAGAACAAATAGAAGGAGAAATCTGGGAAGAAAAGATCAAGGAGTGAGAAAAGAAGAATCAGTCCCTCAGTCCCAGAGCCAGACACAGAATAAGAAGGAAAGAAAAGATACACAGAAACAGAGAAACGTAAAAGCCCAGAGGAAAAAGGTAGATGGGATAGTTAAGAAAAGCTGGCTAAATACAAACCAAGCTAAGTCAGGTATTCATAAGAAAGAAGAAGCCTCTGTGTATTTATTTGGGAACTGGGTGACAGTCCCCCCCCAAGGCCAAAAAAGTAAAGATTAAACAACTATATAGCTGTGGTTACCTACACAAGACCTGCACAAGATCAAGCCAGTAAATAATACTCTAGCATGGAGGCAAGAGGGGCTCATGATCTCCCACCCTTAGCCGAGAAGCTACATAGACTACTGGGGGAAAGGGCCAGTTTCCTTAGGAGTGTGGTTCCTAGTAGATAGATCATGATATAGGGATGCTCCACACACATTCACATATGGGCAGCACAAACTAGTTTCAGTAGATTATTAAAAAAAAAAAATGGAGCCGGGCGGTGGTGGCGCACGCCTTTAATCCCAGCACTCGGGAGGCAGAGGCAGGCGGATCTCTGTGAGTTCGAGGCTGGACCGACAGCCTCGAAAACAATACAGAGAAACCCTGTTTCGTAAAAACCAAAAAAAAAGAAAAAGAAAAAATGGGAGGTGGGGTGGAGAGGAAGGGGACAGATTCAGGAAAAGTTAAGAGGAAGGAATGGGTGTGTGTGATGATGATGATAAAATACATTGTATGCATGTATGAATTCTCAAAGGATAATAAAAAAATTATCCTGGATCAAATTATACCAATTATACCACTTACTAAAAATATGATAAAAATTTGCTTTACCTATGACCTGGGTTATTTTCAACACATTTGCTTTCTGCAGTTACCCATGGTAACCTGTTCAAAATGCAAATTTAACCTTGTTCCTCTTCTTACCATCCCTAAATTGGTTGCAGTCAAAATTTTCCAAGTGAGGTAGCTATGAGTACTTTTAGGCCAAGTAGTTCTACAGTGTACTTACGTTCCCAGCATTATCTCATACCTGCCTCTCTGGTTTTGAGCACTTCTGCTATTTTCTTACAGTGTGCTCCCATCAGCTTTTCCTTATGCAGACATTCATTTTTCCAACTATTTTCTAAATAGCTAAAGTTCTTGCTCCCTTCGCTAGTTTAATCTCACCGCTACCTCAGTGCTCACTGTAGGTATCAATTCTATGGAACATCTCAGCTTTTCAAAACTCAGATAAATTACCATGGTATTATAGGCCTGAGCTTTGCCAAGATTCATCACTCTCGAACATTTCTGAGTGTGGAAACTTCAGCCATAGCCCTTTTTCCATTAGGATACACACCTCCACAACAGCAAGAACAATGTCTGTCTTTTTAACACCATAGTCACAGCAGCTGGCACAATTCCAAGACACAACTATCCCTAGAAAACATGTGATAACTGAGCACGAGAAGAAATGAACACAGCTGTAGCCTATGCATAGCACATGAGGAATCTAAACATTTGAGTCAAGAAACAATGCTTCCATAGAGGCTGCTGACATCTATGAGCAAAGAGTAAAAGGGTCTAACTCCAACCAGGAAGACCCACAACATTAGGCACAGAGCCAGTCTACAGAAATAATTTCATAGGACAATTTTATATAACTTTATAGCTTATTTTTTAATAAACTCTTGGAGAAAAAGAAAAACCTTATGATCTTATGTTTCTTTGGGGTCATAGGATATACACAGTGAATAAATTAACCACAAAATAACAGACAAAAATTCAAAACAAAATAATAGCCAAAATATGGCCAAAAGTGACAGTTCAAAATGTAGTAGTATTTTAAGACGATCAAACCAAATAGTGAATGGTTCCTTTTATAATTCCGAGGACAGAAAACTTCCAGCATTTTTTATGTAGTGAAGAATATACAAACACTTTATATTTAAAATATCTAAAATAGAACCCAATAAGTGTTAATAACTTCATTTACTATTTATACACTTTTCCACTGAGGCAGGAAGCCTCAGTCTGTATAGCATCAGCCTTGGCTACATAATGAGAGTCTAAGTGCCCATCTCCCATCTCCACAAACCCACATGAATAGTTTTATGTCAGTTTTCCTAATGTTAAAGAACAGGGTTAGAGGTAAAATAATTGTTTTAAAAACACGTTTCATGTAAATTTAAACTGCTTTTCTTTTCCAGAAATATATACCTATGGAAATATGTGTTTTGATTACAAGTTTTCTGTTTCTGAGTTCGACTTCATTTTCCCCACTTGAGAGGGAAATGAACAGCAATTTTCAGACTCAAAATAACGTACCAGGGTAGCCTGTACTTTCACAAAGTGCACTTATGACTTGTCCGTGTTAGAGTAACACACACCTTAATCTGTATCTATAAGCTGGACTTTGGCTAGCACAATGAAAGCAGGAAGAAAATAAATAAAACGAGATATCAGTTCAGTGAAATTTATAAAATTCTTATAGAAGCAACCTTACACTACAAAAAGCATGCTGCCAAAGTCTCCTGGAATAATTAGAAGCATGCACTTGGAGTAAGAGACCTTGAAAATACACTTTCATACCCCCACATTAGTTCAGCATCTAACAGTTTGTTCTTAATAGTGTCAGAGATGTCTGTAGCAGCTTGATGAATAATGAACGTGCCCACAGTGCTAACAAGTGCTCAGACTTACTGAGCACTCGCCTTGTGCTAGGCACTGTTAAGTATTTTAGATTTGAGGCTGACAACACTTCTAAGAACTAGATACTTTATAAAGTTCAAGTTTTTCTTGAACATAGAGGAAAAGAGGCCAGGGATGTTGGGAAGAAGCACAGCTAGTGTTTAAATGAAGGTATTCAATGGCTGAGCTCTGACCATCCCACTGTGGAAAATATTACGTCTTAACAAGTAAGATTTAGAAACAGTTCTACACAAGAACCCAAAACCAAAGTTGTTTCTTCTACATTTCAGTGATTTCAAAACAAAATAAAAAACTAGAGTTTTGAAGAAGGCAGAGATAAATACATGGCAACTGAGCCATGAAGGAGTTTACTGAGATTACTCCAAAATTTGAGCAAAGTAACAGTGTTTTCTTAGTATGAACTGATAAGATTTTTTAGAAACATTACATTTATTAATGGTTGGACTATCATCTGAACAAAGATAAAACTAAATATGGACTTAGAGTATTATTAGTTGCCTAATATCATTCTGAAGAAAACAAAGTCCCTACAAGCCTACCTTGGCAAAAAACACGGTGAGGTGAGTTTCGCTGCCAACAATCCAAATAGGGAATTTTGGAGATTTCAAGTAAGAACCAACCTAGAATAAATTCAGCAAAGTAAAACAAATAAATGAAAAATTTATGCTGCCCTTAAATATTTGTTCAGAATTATGTAAAACATAACAAAGGCGTCTAACATTTCTTACCCCAAAGTTGAAATGCTGAGTACAGAAAGGGAACATTCCTAAACTTACATTGTATCTTTAAACCAGAACATAGCAATGTATGCCTTAGTGCATATGCACTCATCATGAGGATTTTAGCTCAAGAACTCCTTCTTAGATTTTGCTACATTTCCCAGATAGAACAGTCACTTCAATAATTTCAACTTGGCACAAAATTAGAACCATAAATTTATAATTATTTTATAAGGTAATCATTGTAAACCAATAACCAAGATAAGGGGAAATGATAAGGGCACCCCTTTCCTTAAAGTGTTTAGGTTAATACAATAACCTCCCCTAAGAAAAAGTTTATAGCACAAAACATTCAAGAACATAAAGGACTCCTACTATTTGACTCTTGATGAAAAGTTCAAGGTTCTACAACATACATAGCATCTTTTTTGTTTTGTATTTTCGTTTTGTTTTGTTTTTTTGAGACAGGATTTCTCTGTGGCTTTGGAGCTTATACTGGAACTCACTCTGTAGAACAGGCTGGGTCTCCAACTCACAGAGATCCACCTGTCTCTGTGCTGGGATTAAAGGCGTGCACTACCACTGCTAAAAAGCTATACATACAGTTTACCTGCAAGGTCATTTATACACAAGACTGTGCCCCCCCATATATATATGAGTGTGCCAAAAAAACACTTGCATTTATTTGTAACTGAGATAGAAAGTGCATTTTGACCAAATAAAACAGATTCACATAATCCATCATGTTTATACTGATCAATTCTACACTTCCCTTAAAAACAACTAACCTTACCTATCTAGTTTGCTTTCCTTTCTCATTCAAACTGACTATAACTGGAAACTGTAAGAAGCTTTCCTATTCAGACAGTAGTCCTTGCTTCAGAACCACCATAGCCCTGTGGAATTTACTATCATCACAAGGGAGGTGGAAAACAGGAGGAACTCTTGTATTATGGACAGAAGACACAGTTCCCTTGTCCTATGAAAGCAGGGATGAGTTTGATGTGCTAACATGAAAACTGGTCAAGTAGGAAGGATCCTTTGAGAACAGCAGAGAAGGAAATGAGCAAAGAAAGGCATAGTGCTCAGTGAGCATCAAATGAGGCTGCAGAGATGAGTAACAAGAGATCTCACTCTTAAGAGAGCAGAGAGATACACAGTGGCAGGAACTTACGCAGAGCTAGAATCACAGTGTTCTGACTCCTAGACTAAGTCTCTATCACACAGTGGACAGTCTAGATACTGCTTAATTTCCCTCGGAAAAAGCATGTGCATTTCACCTAAGGTAAAGACTTAAAAAAAAAAAAAAGAAGAGGTAAAAATTTACAATAGGAACAAAGGATAAATGAATGTTGAGCTAACGGTGGATTTTATAATAAAAAAAAAATCATTCCCTAGAAAACATAGTATTACTTTCCTTATTTTGCAAATACAACTGATAGCCCTCCAATAGTTGAATAGAGAATTACAGTGTCATCATGTAATTTCACTGAGTACACTGTAATGTAAAAACATGCCTATAAAAAACATTCAGACAAATGTTCACAGTAGCAGTATTTATAACAGCCAAAATTAGAAATTACTACTCTAAACTATTAAATCTGAACCATTAAGAAATAGAAGACTCCTGTTACTCAATTCTTCAGGACAGAAGCTAAATTTAAAGTTTTAAAACATTATCAGGTCCTTTAAAATGTATAAACATCCATCAGTTGGTGGATGGAAACAAAATTGACACATTATAAAACAGAGTGGTTTCAACATAAAAAGGAATGAAATGCTATTACATGGGTAGAGGAACCCACGAAGCCAGAAAGCAGAGCTGTGATGTCTAGAGCTACGAAGAAGGAAGTGTTAAGAGTTTCTTTTGGGGTTGAGGAAAACCTTTCAGAATTAGGTAAGGATGACGGCTGCCCAGCCTTACGAATACAGCAAAATTATAGAACTATATGCATCAAAATGGTAATATTTATGATGATATGTTATTTCTTATTTATTTCCTGGAACTCACTTTGTAGCTCAGGCTGGCCCTGAACTCACAGAGATCCACCTGCCTCTTCCTCCCCAGTGCTGGGATCAAAGATGTGTGGCACCACCACCTGGCTCTTATCTCTAAATACAGTTAAAAGCACCATTCTTTCTGTGTGTGTGCAGAAGGGATATAAATAGGTACCATTTCATTTATGTTCTTATGTGTTCGAAATGAGTGAAATGATAATTTCATTTCTAGAAAGCAATCTGCTACACTATCAAAGAATGAAGAAATGTTTGGATTTATAACATTTATACAAGCATAATTAATTTTCTTTATGTCATTTCCCTAACTATCTGGTGACATGACTGAGAACTTACATACTGATGAACTTATATACAGCATTTTAGAAACTGACAGCTCAGTTCTGATGCCCTAGTTATAAACCGGTCAGTCTGCTTTAAGATCAGCTGATTAAATCCATATCACACCATTCTTTTCATAGTCCTCACACTGCAGGATTAGTTTTTTGCCCATATGTCAGGTGCCAGACAAATAGTTATAGCCTTATAGTACAGAGCCCACTGGACTTATTCAAATTTTATCATAAAAATCCCACTTGCCATGTAATCTGCACCTGCAGCTCCAGCTTGCTGCTACCCTGTCCCCAGGGTGGAAGCCATTGGTGGCTCAGTTGTCAGCTCTCTTTACCTATTATTTATAAGCAACAGTGCATTGGGCCATTAGAAGAATCCTGTAAGAGTCTAACGCCATCAGAGAAGAGAAGAGAAAACAAATTCAAGATAAGAAAAAGTAGACAATCAGCAAGGAGTAGTCAGTCATTCTTAGCAAATAATGTAAAATAGTAACTGAGGGCAGGCTAGAAAGACAGCTCTGCTGTTAAAGGCTAGGCTCACAACCTAAGAGTAACTGAGGAAATACATTTTCTGATACAACTTAACACCAACCTAAGGGAAGAGTCAGCCATTCATTTAAAGAGCTGGGGCACTCTACACAGAAATAGCAAGTACTAAGGTCTATCAGGGAGGAAAGGACTGAATGTGTCTGGTAAATGGCAGGTCACTAGTGCGGCTGGAACACAGATAGCAATGGAGAGAGCAACCCTGAGCTAATGACAGCATCCAGATGAAGACTTTATAGGCTACAGAGTTATGAGTTTTAACTGAGAAGTATCTTCCTTAAGTGCATGCATTTGAACACTTTGCCCCCATTTGGTGGTGTTATTTGGGAGTTTATCACTGGAAGCCAGTTTTAGAGTATATAGCCTTGGCCAACACCCTGCTCTCTCTCTGCTTCCTGTGGGTAATGATCTCTCTGCTTCTGGTTCCTCCCACCATGGCATGTCTCCTTAACATGATGGACTCTCTCTCTCTCTTGAACTGTAAGTCTAAATAAATCCTTTCTACCTTAGATACTTTTGGTCATGGTATATATCAAAGCAACAAAAATATTAAACAAAAAAACTTAAATATTTCAGAATATAAAATCACCATAATTTGGTCACATGTAAAATAAGTGTGTGTGTGTGTGTGTGTGTGTGTGTGTGTGTGTGTGTGTGTGTGTGTGTGTGAAGGTGATCATAGGTGCACATTTTGCTCCAGGATAAATGAATAGGTATGTGGACTGGGGATAGGGAATTCAGTTTGGACTGGGGATAGGGAATTCAGTTTGGATTTCTGATTGCCAGGCTATCTTAGAATAGTGTTGATTTGTATAATTAAAGTGATTGAAAAATGAAGGTGTTACTATTGCTTATAGTCACTACATACAAGTAAGGTCAAAATAGATCCTGTATAATTCTTACATCTACACCACCTCTGTTTATGTGCTGTCATGAAGGAATGATATCTTGACAAACAGTAACAGCAACAGTAGTGAGTGCACTCACACACAGTCCCACACTTGCACACATGCATATGCATACACACACACACACACACACACACACACACACACACACACACACACAGAGAGAGAGAGAGAGAGAGAGAGAGGACAAGATACTTGTTAATGCTACTAAAAATCATAACCATCATAACCACTGTATGAAATAAACATTTAAAATAAAAAACCACAAATCTACATCATTCTTTGTCTAAGAATGTGATGTCTTGTAAGTGAAAATAGTGGTTAACGTAACCCTCATTTAAAACAGGTCTAATGGTTATTGAGGATTGCACAGGAAGGTACCTCAAATCAAAAATGAAGGTTCAAGGTAGTTCCCAACCCTAGCACACACGTTAAAACAGCCTTAAAGTGTATTTATCCTCAACCATATGTATTTCTAAATCTTATATTATTTTGTTCTGTGCTCTGATACCCATTCCCTTCACAGGAAAATGAGAATGATTAGCTAGCTTAATTTCTTAACACTTGGTTTAGGATGGGTGTTCAGCAAGGGAGTAAGACAGATGAGTGGTAACAGCCAGAGTTGAAGTTAGTTACCATAAGAATGAAAATACTGTCCACAGGATGAACATACTCAAACCCTTCAAGACATTTACCTTACAATATCGTAAAGCTTCCATTAATGTTAAGAATCCTACAGCTGCTTGTTCATGGATACCGAGAAGTTCTGCAAAAAATAAACAAAACCAAATTTAACACTGCTGTATATGTAAGTCTGAGTAGTGTGTCTGAATATGTGTGTGTGCAAGCATAAATATATTTATATTCAAACCATGCCAAAATGTTTTCACCTAAATCTATTTTTAAACCTTTGCATATTATTTATTGATATATCAAATGAAGCCAGGCATGGAGACTCACACCTTTCATCACAGCACTTAGGAGACAGAGGCAGGCAGATCTCTGAGTTCAAGGTCAGTCTGGGTTGCACAGTGAGTTCCAGGACAGCCAGGGCTACACAGAGAAAACCTGTCTTGAAATCTGCCAATCTCTGTCTCCCAAGTGTTGGAATTAAAGATGTGTACAAAACACGGACATTTCAAGTCCTTTTGACTCTAAAATGAAACCGTAAGTATGCTTAAGGCTGGGGAAACAGTGATAACTAAGAAATAGTCTCTGCCTTATGAAAGCTAAGAGTTTTCTAAGGGACACATATATGGCTCTGTTCCATACTGACTTAAGGTCAGAGAGTTCAAAACTATCCTTGCTCTTTCAAGATTAAAGGTCTAAGACCTAAAGGTCTAAGATGTGGCTACTGAAGGATTTTTGGCCGAAGGTATGGATGTTTTACCTAAATAACAGAATACTTGATCTATGGTTACTAGATGTCTTATCTCAAGGCCAGATAACCAGAGGTTTGATCTAAGGTGTGGTTACTAGATGTCTGGAGAACTAAGGAAGTAATTATGTCTGTTTGTTCCTTGCATCATGGTAAAGAAGTCTTTGGCCTTTTACTCCTTTTAGTTGAACAGTAAACTTAAGGCGGATTCTGGTATTCCTCAGGTGTCCTCCCGACTCTATATTCTTTTTCTAGCCTGTTTCTTTCCTCAATCCACACTCCTTCTTTCAGGTACGGACTGGACAAGTTGGTAGAACCTGACACATACATACACACACTCATGCAGAGTGGTTGGAGTATGGCAAAGGCTGTTTGGGAGTAGGGAAGTCTAAGAAGAAAGGACAAGCCTGGTTGAACACCCATGGATCACCAGTATAAACTCACAGATGTCAAGTTAAGGAAGTGGTAAGCCACAGCAGCCAAGGCACAGAGGACACTGGTATAAGACACTACTTACATATAGTTGGACCTGAAGTGCTAGCAAAGGCTTTTCATAGCTAATGTACACTAAGTACAAGTATAATACATTAAGACCATAAACATAGATTAAAAAACTTTTTCTCAGGTTCACTTTCTAATATGAAAAGTATTACTATCTACAAGTAAAAGCTCTTTGGAATCTTTAATGAATTTTAGGATTACTAAGAGTATAATATAAAAATATTTTAGTCTTTGGGTTGCAGCAACTACGGGGGTAGGAGTACAACAGATGCCAAGATGGGTAGAAATGATACTCTACAGTTAGCAAACATTCCATCTCCTTTCCTCTGGAATACGAGCAGTAACAAAATCTTCCTATTCCAGGACAAACCAGGGTCTACAATTTTATTTCCAAAATCAATTACCACCACCTAGTGTCACAACTAGATACTACACCATCTATTTCCTTGGGTTAAGTCAAATGTCTATCATGGTACATTTAAAATATAATGCTACTAAATACACTAAATACAGCAAATTAGGTCTTCACATATTCAGGTATCTGGTTTAATGATACTTCTTTCTTTATTCCCTCCTGATTGTTTCTGAGAAAAGGTCTCACATACCCAAGCTGCCTGAATGTACTTTGTAGTTGAAGATAGCCATGAACTCTTGATCATTCTGCCTCTACCTTCCAAGTTCTGGGATATAAGAGTACACTACTATGACTAGCACTGGGCAATGATATTTCAGAACATGTTATTCTTACCGCCCAAACAGGATATATGCTTAATATTGCCTTCTTAGATTAAGTATATCAATCAAAATATACCTAAATTTACATTTATGCCAAGCAGTTAGACCGTGAGGTTATATTTTTCATAACATTTATAGAACTTATTTGCATTAGATTTTCTTTAAAAGTCTCAAAGTCTTTACCATTTACTTGCAAGAAATGGTAATTTTATGACTATTTTGTCTTTGCCAATATCTCATCTAAATTGCTGATTGAATTTTTAAAGCTGCTATTTAGTTTGGTGGCAAAGAAATAACTATTTTTTGCCCAGAAGGTAATATTAATTTTATCTGTAATTCACAAATAGAAGTTGTATTACTATATAACAATTCCTGAAATATGTATTCATTGTAGATTAGCTAAATAAAGCTAATTAACACTCACATATGACTGTCTCAAAAAAGGAGAAAAAAATAATCCAAACTAGACATTTGAACACGTGATTCTTTTTTTTAACCTCTTTACATATTTATTACAACCCTGTTCAGCCAAGTTGTAAAATAATCCTGAGTACCCATCAATAGGTAAACAAAGAAAATATGACTGATACACACAATGGGATTTTGTTCATTCAAAAAGAACAAAATTATGTTGTTTGCAAGAAAATGGATGGAATGGAAGATCATAGTGTTAGCTGAAGCAAGACAGACTTCAAACAAGAAGTATCATGTTTTCTTTCATATATGGAAGTGACACGAAAGCCAAAGAGGATTATTAGGGTTGTGTAAGGAAATGGGGGTGAGAGGCAAAAGGAGAGGAGATGAATACAGTACAACCACATCATATAGCATGTGATTCCTGACCAGATCCAAACACTTCATCACCAGGAATATATGAAGGCCTAATTTTCTGTATTTAGTAGCATGATATTTTAAATGTACCTGTAGATATTTGAAAACACACACATACATACATACAGATACACATATATACATACATATATTTGTGCCTCACTTATGTATTTTGAGGATAACAATATTTAAAGTCTACTCTTGGCAATTTTCAAGCAGAAACACTAGTCATTACCTACAGTCACCATGTTTTACAATAGATTTCTTAAACTTATTCCTTTTAACTGAAATTTTATATTCTCTCATATTCTGCCCAACCCCTCCCCTGTACACTATTTCTATAAGCTTACCCTTTTGGGGATTATTGACTGGGTATCCTAGTACTTAGGCTGTTATTTTCTACACTAACAACTGTGTCATCTCTTACAACTGTTGGGGAATTTATAGGAGTCCTGTTAGACTTTTCAAATTTGATGCTATTTTGGAAACCAGACAATCATCCTACAAATAGCAAACATGCCCTCGGTGTTAAGCACTGTAAAAAGGATGCCACAGGTGAAGGTGACTGACTACCTTAAGAGCAGTTTAATCTGGGCAGAAAAGGACAAGTAGGAAGTAGAAAGTGCCAGGAAAGTAAACCGCTCAGAGATGAAGTCACAGTCACTTTCAGCAGTGAGAATTCAAAGGCCTCCTCAAACAGGTGACATGAGGGGGCACAGAAGGACTAGAAAGGCCAAGGAAGACACAGAGGTCCTCAGATGCAGGAGCAAAGACACAGACAGCAGTAATATTTTTTTTCAAGCACAGGTTTATGATGGGTGGAAAAATGAACTGGGAGGAGATTCATTGGGTCTTGAGAAAGGTTTTAAAAATCAATATTTAAATACAGAAAAGGAAGGCGACTTTTTAAAAAACAAAAGCATTCAACAATTAAAATAGAAAGGAATAAAGCACTTGAAAAACCTGTTTATTTAACTTATAGGAAACATATTAGCAAATTGTTTAAAAACATATTTGTTTAAAGATCTTAATGGTAGCTCCTTCCCCAAAATACAATTAAGTATTAAATTTCCCCAAAATACAATTAAGTATTAAATTTTGTGCTTATAATACAGAGTTAAGAATGAACAACTAGGCAGGAAGTGGAAGCAAATACCTTTAATCCCAGCACTTGAGAGGCAGAAGCAGGCGTATCTCTCTGAGTTCAAGGATAGCCTGGTCTACGGAGTGAGTTCCAGCCAGGGCTACACAAAGAAATCTTGTCTTAAAAAAAAATGAATAACTATGCCTCAATTTAAATTATATGAGAGAAAAAAGCGAAGCTCCTTTTAAATCCACTGATGGCTACTGCTGGATTCCTACAAAGCTGGACTGATAACTACTGTATAAGAGCTGCTAGATTTGACAAAAACAAAATACAAACTAGGATGCCCATTTGTTCCAGTCCGCATTTCAGTTGGTATGCTAAAGCATTCTGCCAAAAGACAACTTAGGAGAGGAAAAAGGGTTTCTTGGTTTATACTCCCAGGTTACAATCCATTACTGTGGAAAGTCAGGGCAGGAACTCAAACCACAGATGAAAGCTGCCTACTTCTCACTCCCTTGAACACTCCCAGGTTCATGCCCAGCGAGCTTTCTTATACATACAGCCCAAGCCCTCATGTCTAGAGACAGATGGTACAGTCCACAGTAGGCTGGGTCCTCCTACATCAACCATCAATCAAGAGAGTCACTCACAGACAGAGCCACAGGCTGCCTTAGGCACTGTTCTATTGCTGTGAAGAGAAACAAAAGCTAAGGCAACTCCTATAAAAGAAAGCATTTAATTGGAAGCTTGTCTATAGTTTTTGAGGGTAAATAAAACTTCATGGCATGAAACAGGCATGGTACTTGACAATGGCTGAGAGCTTTACATCTTGATCAACAGGCAGGTGGCGGTGAGGGGTGGGAGAACAGATGGACACTGGGTCTACTGTGGGTTTTTGAGATCTCAAAGCCCACCACCAGTGACTCACTTCCTCCAATAGCCACACCGACTTCAACAAGGCTATACTTCCCAATCCTTCTAGACCTTTTCAAACAGTTCCCCAACTAGTGGCTAAGAATGCAAATATATGAGCCTATGGGGTCACTCTCATTCAAACTATCACAGGAGACAACCTGATTTGTACCATTCCTTAATTACTTGAAGTTCTTTCTTCCTAGGTAACTCTAGGTTGGGTCAGGCTGACAACAAAAAACTAACCAGCACACCATTTACATTTACATTCCAAATACTGTTTGAAACATTAAACATACATACATACATACATACATACATACATACATACATACATACACACACACACACACACAAACACACACAACACACTATAAAATGACTGATGATGTCAAATGTAGATTTAACTAGGACATTTAATCTGGCTCTAGCTAATAAAACATGTTAAAAGTAATACAATTTCAGGATAGCAGCACTCTGATCTATTAATCCTGATAAATCATAATTGTAAATCATATCTTAATTGCAGAGTTCTGAAATGACCATATTCCTTAGAGTTTACATTTCTATACTTCCATGTATCAATAAGTTCATGGGCACCAATTATCCCTTATAATTAACCATTAAATAAATATAAAAAAATGATGGATAAGATATATCAATGTAAAACTTTTGAAGAAATACTAGAGAATATTAGTTTAATCTGGGAATAATAGAAATAAAGAATTGACACAGGGGGAATGAAATATCAAATGACTCCACATTATGGAAGTCAAAACCTTGGGAACAAAAGACATCACTAAGAAAAATTTACATAAGAACTATAAAGAACTGAAAAAGAACTTACAATGACAAGAGATATTTCCCAGAGGGAAAAACAAAGCTTACACATGAATAAACAACTGAGCTCAGGTTCATTAGGAAGTAGAACAAATGTCAAGTAAAATACATAATCACTTGTCAAAAACTGACCAAATATTAAAAGTGGACAATATTCACTTATCAGCTAGGATACAGAAAAACAAAACAAAACAAAAAAACCAGAAAGCTACATCAGGAAGATATGTTGATACTTTATGAGGCACATTTTAGAAACAAAGTTGCTATTAACTAACAGTTTAACAAATATTCCCCCAAAGAGTAAATCTTCTAAGTTAATGTATTATTATCCATGACTTCAATTTCTAGTTATATAGCAAAGAAAGATAAAAACACATGCTCTCACCAAGAATTGCATACAGATGTCCCTAACAGCATTACTCATAACAGGCAGGTGGCCATTTCAAATGTCCAACAATGATGATGGATAAATATGCAGGGCTCACCCACACAATGTAATATTTCTTGCTCATTAATAAAAGTAAAGTGCCAGTGCAGGGAAACACTGTTCACAGTAAAAGAACTTTGTCACAAACATTAGACATCATATAATTCTATTTATGTTAAATGTACAGGACATGAATATATAGAAACAGAAAGCAGATCGTGGTCAACCTGGAGTGCTGCTGATGGGAGCAGGATATCTTTATAAAGAAAGGCATTTCAGATTTGATTTATTCTACATTTTGACTATGTGGCATGCATAGTACATAGATTAGATTTCAATAGTTATTACTAAGAAAAAGTCAACAGTTGACTAAATTTTTAATACACATCTAATTTAAGAAATCAATCCTGCAAGAACATTGAATAGGATTGACTTACATACAATGTTTCTTACCAATTTGTTTTGTAACAAACTGGAAACCATCTACATGCTCACCAAGGTAAACTGCTCAAGGCAAAAGACACACATAACAATTCAAACACTAATAACCTTAACCTCACTGAATAGTCCCAGATCACATCTAATATCCACTTTCTCTTCTACTAGCAGAGGAGTGATTACTGCTGGGTAAACAAAACAAAACAAAATCACAACAAACAATCCCAAAACCTAATAGCTGAACTCATAACAGCTCTTTACTCCTTTGAGCAGTTAATCCACACCTTTTCTTCTGTATTTTTGTACATTTTCCTATGTTCACTCAATGAGGTTAAAAAACATATCCCAACCATACTGCTTGTAGAGGGAAATAGACATTGTGCTCTCTTTTCCTTCGAGTGCCATTGTCTATCACTGTCCAGGCTGTGTGCCAGAGCTTTCAACTAGTGATTCCACTCCAATAATTAATTCAACAAGCTGACAGCATCTTTTTCTTCTAGATTTTACTGTGTTATCTCTGCTCAATGCTTACAATGATTCTTTTTCTAATACTTAACTGGGAGTAAATATGGTATTTAGTATTCTCTGTGTTGTCACTCAAGCCTATGCTGATACGTCTTTCCTTTTATCAGTTTTCGTCACAAACCCACTGGTTCTCAAACCCGGCTACACGGCAAAACCACCTAGAAGTTTTATGTCCATGCCCCAACACCTAAAAGTTCTACCCTGTAACTGTTCTTAGCTGGGATCTGACTGCTCATCATTTTAAGATCTCTAAATGATGTAGATGGCTCTACTCAACATGTCTATCTTCTTGTGTCTATTTACGTTTTCCAACATAGACAGTGAGAAAAACTCCCTCCTTCCTCAGCATGTGCACAGTTCATAGTTCACCACGCACTGAATCATCTATGTAGAGGTTCTCATCCACCTAAACTATGTAGATAAGCATTTGACAGAACTGAGTTTTCCCATGAGCCCATCTTCATTACAGAACTCTTGGTAGCTACAATAGCCATTTGAAGAATGTATTAGTTCCACATAAAGGGAAATTAAGTAAGGGAAGTAACTTGTCTTGAGTGTTTGAAAACTACATAATTTTTTGTTTATGTTCCATATTTCTTTACCATGTATTCTAAGACAGAAACACACACAGTAAATGCTGAATAAATGTATGGATTTTATTTTATATTTAAATATCTGAAAGCAGAACTGAGTTCAAGTCAACATTCCTAAAGACTGAGGAGAAAATTTAAGTACATTGGGGCAATTCTCTTTTTGAAGATAACTATCTTCTAACTACAGCTTAGTTTTGATCCTTAAACTGTATTTTAAACTACCCATAGTAAAACAACAGTCTTGAATAGCAGTACTTCAAGAATCAGAAAAGAATGAATTTGAATATACAAGGAACAAGGCTTATATAAGTGATGAACAAATTCTGTAACTGTGGTAAGATTCAAAATGGTAAGAGGAGATCTGGGTTCTTTAGTATGAGAGAGAGAGAGAGAGAGAGAGAGAGAGAGAGAGAGAGAGAGAGAGAGAGAGAGAGAGAGAGAGAGAGAGACAGACAGACAGACAGACAGACAGACAGAGACAGACAGAGACAGACACAGAGAGACAGAGAGACAGAGAGACACAAAGAGAGAGACAGGCACAGGGAAACAGACAGAGAGAAAAGGGGGGGGATAGCAGAATGAAAGGGAGATTGGATCAGGATAACTTAATAACAAACAAAAGCCTAACAGCTTTGGCCGCAGCAAGCAGTAGGAAGTAGCAGTGATAGAAGCCAGATGGGAAGAGATATTTAAACCACAGTTCCCTCTCTAGTTATTTGAAATTACAGCAGATACCTCAGAGATCAGGGACCTTTGGGAGGAGGTGAAATCAAAGAAACTGTACATTACCCAAGAAAGACTGGCATTTTAGCTAGCAGAATCACATGCTTTTAGATCTAAATCAGAATGGTGGGTCCTTAGGATGTGCTTGAACAGAGAGCAGAACAAGACAGAGCACTTGTGGGGTTTAGTATTCATGCAGTTAGCAAGGCTGGGCTCTTATTCTAACTTCCCCATTAAGGGAGTTACGCTGCACACATCACCTAGTGCAGGAAGTCAGGCATTTCCAAACAGCATAGTGCAAGGGTGTATTGTGCCCTCTAAGTTCTGGAGTTCTATAAAATTTTACTCAAATTTTTCTTAATGTTGTATTTTTTTTCTATTAATAGTTTTAAAAATTTCTAAAATTTGAGGAAAATGCAAATTAAAAGTTAAGAATCATTCATATAAATGAAAAGTAGTAACATTTTCTCAAATGTAATATACTCTCTGTTGGTTGGTAACCATTCTATCAAACACCAAATTGGAGGAAAACATAAATTTGCCTGCAAACAGGGACTATGAAGCTTCATGTCCTACAATAGACATTTCAGTAAAAGGTTTATTGCAATTATTCCATAAAAGTTAAATGACTACAGAAATGAGTTCAGACTGCTCAGTAATAAATCGAAGGGGATTTAATTCATAATTTTGCATCAGCTCTGCTTAAGTGAAAGAACTGGTGAGTGTGCTTCATTTGATGTTCATGACAACATAAGAAGCCACTGAAACAAAATAAATGAAACCAGAAATGGAAATGCTGTTGGAAGGGTAAGAAGATGGAAGCATTAGAAAACAAAATCTGCCCAGCATATTACAGTGTATATTAAAAGTAATATAGAAAAGCCCAGAAATCTGTCCAAACAAGCAATTCAATTACTTTAGAATCTCCCATAACTCCCAGTACTGAATGCAGTACTGTCCCTGGAGAAGTACTCCTATATTACATCTACTAAAAGATAGATTACTATTTCTAAAGTTAGTGTCACAGTCCCAAAAACAAAACAGAGAAAAACAAAGCCTTGAGGATTCAAGCCTGACCAAACTCATAAATTTGGTACCCAAGAATACCTGCTTCCAAAAATCTACACTTTAATGTTATGGTGTCTTGGAAAAACCATAAAGGGTTCTTCTAATAGAAAGCACTTACCTTAGCATCCATATAATGGAGAACTGTTAAACAGATGAGTATCATTCTCCCATATTTCACTAAAATATAAGCATTTGAGGCCATAGCAAAGAACATACTTACGCATTCCTGAGCACTCTCTATCACCATCCCATACATTAGAAACCGCATGTCCCGTCAGTAGGAGGTTAATTAAGCTTTGGCTATCAATAAAAATTAAATATCAGTTAAAACAAGCATAAAACTTGTTCTTCAATTTAAGTAATTCCTACAGTGAAGATTTTAATGACTTCTTATATTCATTATGTTAAAACATGAAATGAGACGAAACCTTACTTCCTAGAAGAAAACTTACTTCTACGTCTGGCCGTGGTGAGGGCCTTAGTGTTGCACTACAATGGCATCTGTTACCATAATCATAGAACCCTAGCAACTTTAAGGGCATATTTAAGTGGATAAAAATTTGTCTGTTTACTTAGTATTTACACGTATTTTTATAAAAAATAATTGTTGGAATTGTATCATTTCCCCCATTCCTTCCTTCAATCTCTCCCATATACCCCTTTGCTCTCAAATTAATTGCCTCTTTTCTTTTGTTGTTACATATATTTACACGCATGCACACACAATCTCCTAAATAAACACAAACTACTCCGTCGCTATAGTGTTCCTTGCCTGTGCATAATTTTAGGGCTGACTACTTGGTATTGGAGAACCAACTGGGACTGGAAGCATTGCTACTGGCTATGAAGTCATGGGTCTTGGAGAAGAACCTACAAAATCTCACTTTACTAAATCAGCATAATTCATAACTACATTTAAAACATTTATCATTATACATACTTATACATACATACATTCTTGCCCCCAACCAAAAAACTTGGCTTTGTAATAATAGATGGAGAACATTATATTTAATATGCAGTCTTTGATAGAAGATAGGTTAATGTTAACAACTAAAACAGACATATCTAAAAGGAAGGACGTGTGTGAGAATAGATTAATTTTCACTATTCTATTGATTTTGGTAAAATAAAATTAAAAAAAAACTAGTTTCCAAAAGAAACTAGCACAGATAGGTAAGAACATACTTATTTCTAGGTTAATGTGAGTGAATTTAGTCTTTTTTAAAAAAATACATAAATGAATATAAAGGAGGCTTTGTTAAAATATCTTGACAAGATACTTGTCACAATAAGTCATGTGTAAACAACTCGAAACTGGATGTTAACAGGCCACACATAGCAAACACTACAGTGCATGCAGCACAGGGCTACTCAAGTCCAGCACTTATAAGAAACTCTCCCGCTCCTAGAGCCTAAAGTTCAGTAAGAGATAGCAGACTTCAGCCTTTACCTGCCATGCCCGTACACAGGGTCTATCAAAGGCTCATTTGCATCTTCAATTGAATTCTTTATGTTTTCAATGCCCTAAAGAAACCAAGATTTCATTAACTTCATTTTAAAACTAAAGTACAAAGTATGATCAGTTTGGACTATATGTTAATAAAGTACTATTCAAATTACCCAGACTTGAAGTGAGGTTGCATTTGATATGGTAAGAAGTAGCTCCCCAAAGATTACATTACATTTCTTTCATGGGTTCTATAAAGGACACTAAAGGACTCATAGGTAGTAAGTCTAACGTTGGATAGACAGAGAAAATTGTTTAATATAAAAGTTAATATTTAACTTTAGGCTAAACTAAATTAAAAACAATATAGCTACTAAGAAAACTAACTTTAGGTCACTTTAAAAAACTTATTATAATAAAGTCATAGACTTTTGAATTTAGATAGAGATACAAAGTTAAATACACAAAAGATTTATAATAGATAAAGAAGAAAATGGAAAGTTTACATGTGACCATAATTTCTCCCCCCAAATTGGTAATTCAAATATACAGTAACAAAATATCAGTTCTGAGAACAGGAAGTCCCTCATTTCTTAAAAACAATCTCCTGAGCCGGGCAGTGGTGGTGCACACCTTTAATCCCAGCACTCCAGAGGCAGAGGCAGGCGGATCTCTGTGAATTCGAGGCCAGGCTGGACCGACAGCCTCCAAAACAAACAGAGAAACCCTGTCTCGTAAAACCAAAAAAAAAACAAAAAACAAAAACAAAAAAACAAACAAACAAAAAAGTCAACCTCCTGACACTGTTGAATCTTACGAACAGGAGGTTGGAGAAACACAGGAAGAGTGAGGAACCGTAACCTCATCAACTCCAAAACAGCACGAAGTGACACCCACAGCACTATAAACCTAATTGGAATCACTGATTCTGTTATACTATAGGCACATCTAAGGATACAATAGACAACCAATAACCAAAGTGTTAAAAGAGTGTCTAAAGGCTGGGCATTGGTGGCGCCTGCCTTTAATCCCAGCACTCGGGAGGCAGAGGCAGGCAGATCTCTATGAGTTCGAGACCAGCCTGGTCTACAAATTGAGTTCCAGGACAGCCTCCAAAACAATACAGAGAAACCCTGTCTCAAAAAACTAAAGAGAGAGAGAGAAAGAGAAAAAGGGTGTTTAAATACCATAGGGGAAAACAAAGAGTTATGCCATCTTGACTTCTCAACCCAGGAAACAACAAAACAAAACAGGCTACAACAAAGTCAAAATGCATGACTGTGCAGTCAGTGGGCCGAAGAGGAATTATTTCAGAGAGCAACAGTTTAAAGGTGTTCAAACGGAAAAACCAGCATAATGGCTAAAACAGTCAAGGATACCAAAAGTATCAGAATTTGAGGAAAAAACACTGAGTGAGAGTGAATAGTGAAGAAAAGTTCGTGATGGTGCCACACCTTAGCCACTGCTACTACCGCTACCACTAGCTACCCCAATCACCTGACCTCCAAGCACTTTTGGTACCTTACATTACTTAATGCAGTACCTTGTTTAATATTTGGTCGACTTCTGTTATCATTAATTCTTTATTCTATTTGTTCCCTTTCTCTTCCATTCTATGGTCACCATCTTGCTTTAGGTTTCCACTACAAATACTATTTTCCTAGTTTCCTTGACTCTAGTTTCCCATTTACCAAACGTCTTCATCACAAATTCTCATTCCAATTTCTGAATCTTTTATATATATATACACACACACACAAAATCTTGTCATTTCCATATTAAAAATTGTATTGTGTTCCAATTCTGATATGAAATCTAAAGTATTTTTTAGATTTTACAAGAAACCTCGAATAAAATAGGTGCAAATACCACCTTTAAGAGTTGTCCCTAGGTATATGACACTGCAGTAGAACTGAGGTATTTATGATCTCCTAAGCTGTGTTATACCCCAATATCCCTTTCCTCTTTAGACTTGCTGCCCCTACTGTTTGGTAAATTTTATTACAACTTTTCCACATGTAAAACTTCTCTCATCCATACATCCACTAATTGGTCTTTACTTCAGAGTCTGTCCATGAGTCCCTTTAACAAACTTAATTCATATCTTCTATTTTCCCAAAATACTTTCTGCATGTAATAAATGAATAAATATAAAAGCTATCACCCCAAAACATGACCTTAATGTAATTATTAGCAAGTCATTTTATAATAAAAATAGAAAGCCTTAAAAAAGGATGTCACATACCTACCACAGATTAAATGTTTAAAAAAATAATAAAAGGAAAACAAACCTAATTGCAGATAAGGTATAATCAGGAGATATTCCAAGTGAGACTGAAAGGCTATGAACAATTTGAGATTGGTATTTGCAAAATGAAGACAGGACAAGAAGTGTGAATGCTAGAGTTGCAGAGAGGTGAGCTAACAGAAATAAACTACCCATAAAAAAAATAAGAAAAAAAATCACACAGGACCCAGGAAATTACTCTTCTAGAATTCTAAAATCTGGAGTTCCAAAATTCAGAAGAGGAGAAAAGAGTTAGAGAACACAGAAAGAAGGAAATAAAGCTATTACAGAACTTTTTTTTAAAAAAAAGATATGAGACATTATATATATATATATAGTATAAATTTATATATATAAAACCCTAGCACAAGGATTATCAACTAAATGCAGACAAGAGGGATCAGAAAGAGTTTCTACAGGGGCTAAAGGTCAAGTGCTAGATATTGCTAAGATCAAAGAAAACCAAACTGAGAACTGACAGCATGTCATGATTAGAACGGTATCAATCACCTCTGCAGTCCGTAAGGGCAGAGAGAGGAAAGTGTGAACGTGGTTAAAGATTGAATGGAGGCAGAAGTGAACTCCTTATCAGAGGCAAGATTCTTCACCATGGATGTACAAACAGCAGCCACACAGCATTTAACAGCACTAAGCTAAGACAGTAAATTGTCTTAAACAAACCTTTGTCAATAATACAGAATAGAGAAAAAGCAAGACTCCAAATTTGTTTCCCCACATTGAATACTGGTCCAAGACAGCATCTTTTAATTCTGATACAGTTCTGAATGATCTTTTTCTGGGGGGAAGAAGAATCAAGTATTAGTATCCTGATTACTCCATTAATAAATGAAAAAATTTTAAATTCTTATTCATTATAACATACACACAGGAAATATTTATGAAGTATCTTCAAGTTCTAAAAACAGATTTAGCTAAGGAAAGCAAAAGCTATTGCTAACAACTCCTACCATTTGCAACCCTGTCCACTACCATGGCCCGAATCCTGGCAGGGAGCCTCTGCCTCTCTTAGATGCAGTACCTGGCACCAGTTCCTCAGTCCATGCAATTATTTAGACAACAGACTGGCCCTTTTCAAAGAGGTGTTCAATAACAAGACAACTATTAAAGAATGAAAGCTCTTCAACGAACATCTGAGGCCTAAAACTACAGTATACATTTGTGGCTTCTTTTACAATAGATTAATGTTAAATTTCAAAATGCCACCTATAATTCTGTCAATATAACAGCCTTCCTTTGTTTTTATGATAAAATCATTAAATGTCCTGATAAAATATGGGCACTTTTAATGATAATTATAGGAAGTATATTTTGGCAGATAAATAACCCTAGTATTTGTCTCACTACAAGTGGCTTTATATTCATTCAGAACAGAAAAACAAGATAAAATGACTTTTTTTCACTGACAATGATGAAGAGGTATTTAACTTAGTGTTTTTAAAAGTATACTTGGTTAGTTACTTTAGGACTTAGAATCACATGCATGTATAAATTATTTTTAAATTTGAAAGCAAATTAATGCTCAAACAAGGTATTTTAAGCTCATGTTTAAGTAGAAAGGTACTATGTAAAGCTAAGGATGTTTCCACAGTATGAACAGACTTAAAATGGCAATGTGTCCACAAGGTAAGTATTTTAAATGTTTCAATGTTACTTACTGAATTAATGCATGAAATCGCTCAAAGCCAAGCTCTTCGACAGCCAAGGCAGCTATACATAAAAGACACTTTTCAGCACTACACATGGCAAATAAATGACACAAGATACACACAGCAGGCTGTAAATACTTCAAGCAATCAAAACATTCCCTATTTCTTATTCCCTTACAAGTCTCAGTTCACTCTGAACTTTAGAGTAACATGAATTTATATTTCATCATCTTAGTTACCCGTTATAACTAAACTAGATACAGTATGAGGATGTAGAAGGGTTACTAAGTAACAAACATCTCTGTACAACTCAGTTATAGCTAGAACATGCAAAACAGAAACTACTGCCTATTTGTCACACATTGTCATGTGTCCTAAACTTTAAAATAATCTCCCAGTTTACAATAGAAGTAACTATCAGTGCTGACCCTTTTCACAATTAAATCCTTAGGCTTCCTGCTCACTTATTAAAAAAGTGTATAAAAGGCATGGCACTGAAACATGGGTTCAAGGACAGATTTAAGTTTGTTTCCTCATTTATTCATGCAATCATTAACAAATTTTCAATAACTCTTAAGATTGTATTAATAAAGTACAAGTTTAAAAATGTTTAAAGAAAACCAAAGCCTTTAAACCAAAGGTGACATTTAAAAGGTTTCACTAGGTGCTGGACACTCTTGTGAGCACAGGCCTGACCTCACTTAGTGGCCATGGCCCCTTCATCCCTGGTTGTAGAAGAGGGAACTGAGGTCCACACAGGACCTAAGAGCACCAAGTTCTAACCAGCACTGGAAGGTAGACTCAGTCTTGGCTTCCAGAATATAAACTCTTAAAAACCAATCAAAATGCCTACTTTCTTGAAATGAGCAATTTCATGAATAATAGTACGTCTCATACATAAATTTTTACTACTGTTTAAGTAAAATGATTATGAAATCAAAATTAAAATTTTATTTACAGTTTAAAATTGCACATTATACTAGCTTTATATAGTCTAGTTTTAACTTTTCAATGTTTAGTTTAACTTTTCAAATGCCTTTCTAAAATCTTTAGAAATCCAAATGGACGAATTTATCTTTTGGTTTATGTGGGAAACAAACTGAAATTGAACCCAAGAATATACTACTATAAACAAGTGTGCATTACCAAAAAGCAAAAATATACACACCACAAAAGCCAATGGAATTAATGCTTGCACACAATGTAAAATCAATGAGTGGGAGAAACACTTCACTTTTAAATTATGAAAACAAAATAATTCTATTTAACCTCTTCAAATTATACTGTATTACAATGCCAGCTTATGCTGCACTGGAAAGTTGGCATAAAGAAGCAAGCAAAAAATAAAAATAAAGCTTAGCAAGCAGAAATAATGGGAAATAAGACAGGAGGAGAGACAGATGGGAATAAAGAAAAACAGGTAAAACAGATTGTTATATGGAATAAACAATTCAATGTAAGTTCAGTTTAACTGTCAGTATCTAAGATACATTCTCAATTTTTCACCTAATAAAATGATTTAAATCCATATGAAATTAGAGACATTTCAAATATGGTTTTATGGCATGTTTATTTTAAAACATAGCATTAATTAAACTAGAAAATTCTACAGCATGTCTTTTTTGGAGGGGGATTCAATATAACACACCCATCTAAATTAGTTACTTAAGTAACTGTGCAATGAGGCCCTTACTGTATAGTAAGCACATGGTATGCATTAAAAGCCAAAGGAAAATGCTATAAATGAGCTTTAAAATCTTCAAATAGATTAAGTATCTCACTCTCAAAATTTAGTTTCCCAAATACAATTATTAACATGCTTACATGCCACACAGTAAAATTTAGAAAACATTTAAAAAGTAGTCTTAAATGAAGTTTTATTGTCATCCTTTTGAGTAGCTTCCTTTCCGTTTAAATGTCATAATGAACTGTAAAATAAATTTTTTGAAAAGCAATGTTTTAAAGGCTTGAAAAGAAACATTACACAACTTTAAATTTTTAAAATTATTCCTTGCAAATGTGCTATTAAAATTTGGCAACCACAAGCCATTCTAATTGCAGAGGTAGGGGTAAAACGATATTGGGACATTTCAGCTCAAGAAAGGCAATACTGCCTCTCAGATAGTTCTACATGGGCAGTGGCACATATCACACACAATCAAGTATTTAACTTTCTAACATCAGGTATCCAATTTTTGCAAAACCATCTTATTTATATAGAAGGTAGTGAGTACACTGTGGTATAGACAGAATAAATCACTTATTTAGTCTATGCAGTTGGGACTACCAATTATCAAAAATTACCTACTAGTAAGACTATTCCTCCAAAGCAAATCAGAAAAACAACTCGTATATGTTTTCCCTACCATCAGAAGTCTCGAATTTACCAGCTCATTTTGGCAATATTTAGGACACTTTAAGAATATTGAAGTGTGTAATTTTCTTGTTTTTCTTTTTTTATTTTTTTTAAGACAGGGTTGCTTAGTGTAGTCCTGGCTGTCCTGGAATTAGCACTATACACCAGGCTGGCCTCAAGGTCACAGAGGTTCACCTCTCGCTTCCTTCTGAGTGCTGGGACTTAAGGTGTGCATCACATTTTTTTTAAACAAGAATAGACATTATTTAGATTAGTTGAAGAAAGAAACTACAGTCAAGAAAACTTAAGTCATAAATAAAACAAAACTAAAATTACCTTGTCCCAGATAATATAACAATGTCCAAAATCATCAGGAACAAAATAAGAGTATATAATTAAGAAAATGTCTCCATCTTTGTTCTAGAAAGCAACTAAGGTATTTAATGGCATTAAAAACCCCTTTTAATCTAAAGAAGAATAGTGCACACTGAGTCTATGACATACTGATGTTTATTCTTTGGATTTTTAAAATTCAAAGTTTCAATGTTCAAAGGAGATTTCATCAAGTAGAAGTTAACTGGAATTATTTTTAAATTGCTTAAAATATAATTGAAACTCCTTTTGCAAAAATGCATTGTCTTATATTAATTAAAATAAAGCAAAATATTAAAGATTACTAATTAAACTTAGGATAGAAAAAGAGATATAAAAAACAAAATATTTTCTCTTTAAAGTTTTCAAGTTTTACTAAAACAAAAGGACAAGAACGTACTTCATGAAATAAAAAGGTATCTTACAAGAATGCTCCGCTTGGCAACTAGACTGTGCAGGACTCCCAGCAATACTAGCCGCTTCCTCAGCTGTCCTTCCTCTCAACCATGAAACCAAGCAGTATGATCCAGAGCTGTCACAAGCACTTTCTAAAATATCACATAAGGTATGACAAAGGAGTTCCTTCTGCTCTTCCTCTAAAAATAACCAAAGTGTAAGTTATAATGGTTTGTCTGAAAAAGAAAATCGTTATGACAAATAGCACAAACGCCTTGGCTTAATAATAAAAATCAAGTGTTTTGTAAGAATATAACCAGGAGACTGTAAATTACTCTTTAGAAAAGCAATGTGTGTAAGGATTAAAATATTATCACTTTAAATACTGGTGTCAGTTGGAAGAAGAAGCCTGGAAAACACAGAATTTAACATTATGAGAAACAGTATGTTAGGCATCTGTCTTGGGCACCTGAGCACTCAGGTTCCTTTATTGTAGAATCAAGCATAACGAATAACAGGGCCTCTAGAGACCTCTGCTCTCCTCATCTTCTGAATTTCAATGTCTGACCAATTTACAGGAATAAGAGAAAGGCGATATGATCCCATCAGCACACAAAAACCACAATCCATTATGATAGCAACCACTGTTATGCTGAATAAACCAGAAGCCACTATATCATCCCACAGTAAGCTGAGCACTGGTGTTTTGTGGATGGCACAAGGAAAGCCATTTCCTCCAGAACCTGAGCAGTGCCCCTGTCTCTAGTGGTGCCTCTCTCCAGATGTACTATAACAAAATCCTGTATCATATCTTATGACAAAAGAGGATTCTGTCTTTCCTAATGGAACTTTGCATGACAGCCTTCATGACATTATGGCAATGCTTTCCAAATTTGTCAAAGTGACTGTACTTTTGGGGAAGAAATGTTTTCTGCAATTAAAAGTCATGTTAATAAATGAGTCTCTCTGAAAGTTTCTTTGCTGAACTTGTGCATTTCCATTTCATATTAACACTAAATATGTATGACCTGGACACATTTAACATTTCAGTTCAAAATCATGAGGAGATTATCTGGTCATAGGTCAGGATGGAAGCTTATGTTCTTATAGACAATATTGGCACTGCAATATTCTGCTTTCTTCTAGAAGTGACTATGAGGCTCACATGAAATTCTGTAACTGAGGAAAGATATTTGTAAATTGCCAAGTGGAATGAAAATGTTTGTTATCAGGTAGCATCAAGCTGCAGATACTCCAGACAGCTCCATTACAATATAATTACTTTTCATGTTTCCATTATAATGAAAGATAAAGGAATAAAAAGAAAACAACTCTGAGTTCCTGATCAGAGCACAATAAAGAAAAAAAAAAAGGAAATAGAGTCATGGAGGGAGGAGGGAGACCTAATAACAGCAAACAGGCAAGGTAGAGCAAAAGTAATCCTGGAAATAAGAGTGAAGTAGAAAGACATTGAGTCTGAAGACAGCCTGGCCTACACAGCAAGTTCCAGGCTAGATTTATTATATAGCAAGATCCTGTCACACAAACAAACACCAGAGCATATTTTCATCTAAAAGTTAAGAGAAACAGCCATTTTATAAAGAAGCCAATTGTTTTGCCTCACTTACAATACCCTGTCTTCCATCTCCTATTATAAATCTGAAAGTGCACAAGTTAAAACAAAGTCACTGTTTATGAAACTTCCTGAAACATTCAAGAAATACTATCCCACCAATTGTTTCCTACTGAATACACACTTTTTGTTAAAAAATTGAATTACTTAACAACCAATGCTGTGTAGACCAGGTTTAAAAGAGAAGATGAAATAAAAACTTGAAAGCCAGCTATCATACCTGAGCAATCCCGCCAGGACGACTTCTCAGAGGAAAACAGAAGCTTCTTCAAAAGAAATGCCTTTATACAATTAAAGCAATGGTTAGAATGCATTATAGACACATCTCATGCAGCTCGTTTACTTTTTAAAATGAAAAAGTAATACCACTTTTCTGTTCTTTTGAGCAGTTTTATTAAAACCTCAGTCTTTCCCCATATTCAAAAGTCAGTGTATATGGTTATTTACCTAGAATATACCAATATAAACTTTATCCCAGAGTCACAAATTACCCACCTCAGATACATACGCTCTAATAAGTAGAGAATTCACATTATAAAGAGGTAACTAGAAATTACAGCAAGTTAGTGAAGGCACAGGAACATGTCTACATTTCTCTTGTATTTCTGGGGCAGGAGACATTTAAATACAACAATAGTTCTTCTTTGTTAGCTCTGATCTGTTATACAAAGAATACCACTACTGGTCATCTTGGGAAATTAAAAAACCCTTTCTCAAGCAAAAATACAAAAACACTGTGGCTGTGGTTCAGTCGTAGAACACTTGTGTATCATGGTGACACTACGGGTTAGATGCCCAGGACTACGGAAAGCAAGAGTGGGAGGAAAAGAATGACCCAACTACTAGGGCAATCACTTCTCACAAGAATGCATAACTTCATGATTTGAGTCATCAAATTATATGATTCAAAAGAAAAACAAACTGATCCCTAATCTTTTATTGACTATGTCATAGGAAACTGTGGGATATAGGACAGTGCTTCCTTAAGGTACAGTGCAGTTGACTTGTTTAAATGCAGATTCTTGGGCTCCACCTGTTGAATATGAATATGTTCAGGGCAAGTCTAAGAAACAGGGGTATTATAGGACTCTTCAAATGCTACAAGAAAGCAGGATGGAGATTGCTTTTAGTCAGAAGGACCTAAACTTGAGTCTTGATTAACTACACTATTAATCAAAAGTGCTAGCACAAACTTCATACTGCCTTGCACCTAACAAGCCACCAATTCAAAGAATTTTACCACCCCCAACAGTAAAAGTCTATGGTACTTACACAGAAATAAAGCAAACACTATCATCATGTATACACTATCATCCAATATCAACATAAATTAATTACCTTGTATAATTATCTATAGTACAAACTTTGGAGGTATATTACTGATGTTGGCATATAATATTTCCTTTATTTGTTCCTCATGACTGATTTTGTAAAAAGAAATTATAATGCTTATATTAAGATGTGCACTTTCTAGTTTTCACGGAAATTAATAGCCATAATCACTACTTCTATAAAACTCCCAAGATTTACCTGTTATTTCCTCATTTAAATTTTATTACAATATATTAGGTTGGTTGTAATTTTTGCTACTATAAATCAGTTTCTTCATGAGGAAATTTTTTTTCATAAGAAGGGTTATTTTTAAAGAGAGACTTACAGAAATACATTATTGCATCAAGACTCTATATTCATGGCTCTAGTCATAGTTTATACACCTTCACAGAATCTTAGTTAAATCTGTACTAGACAGCAATATTCTAGAGTGTCAGTACATCTCACCCACATAGTTTGACAATTTTATATCTAGAGAGTTTTAAAAAAAGAAAAAGAAATAGAATCAAGCTCTAGTTTGATTTTTACTAGTCCATACTCATCAAATCTATATCCTTTTATTGTTTAGCATCGTTCTATCTGTTAACTACTCCGTGATGCCCATCTTACCACTGGGGACACAGTGTTTTTCTTACCCAATTTGTACTAATTCCCCATGCAAGACAGACAATATCCTTGTTAATAATGTTTACTGAAACTATTTTTTTCTGAGCCGAATGTAACCATTTTTCTTAGAGCATTAGTACATTAATATTTGGATTTCTTATGGTTCAGGGATATATTTGGCATATGGTAGGAGACAATATATAGTCATTTATCCCCCCAAATTGCCATATTGATGGTATTTCTGAAATTTCATATTATTTCACCACCTATGACAGTTCCTTTATCACAGTAAGTGATAAAGTCTTGGTAAATTCTTATTTAATAAATGAATTATCTTTTAATGCTATTCCTATATACATTTTCTAGAAGTATCATGTTCTAAATTTAATAGTTTAAAAAGATTACTGTTAATATTTTGACTTACTCAGTTCTCTCATTACTCTTAACAATTCAATTTTGATGTTTAAACCAAAACACTAATATAAATAAAATAATTATATTGATTGAAAATATGGATATGTTTCTCAAATTAAACCAATGCCCCAAAGGTCTGTAACAAGGTGGTCAGGGTCTTACTGTTAAAGTTATCCCTTGTTTATTATTTATATGCACTGAATTTAAATTCCTGTAGTCTATCTTCTGTTTACATATATCCATAGACCTTTAATATTATAGTACTATTACTGAAACAGTCTCTAAACAGATTTCCAAATCTAGCACAAATGAAGGGCACAGGATCTCCAAATTCAGACAAGATTACTACTGCTACATGAAATTTGCCTCAGCTACTTAGGAAACTAGAAAAAATAACTATTTGTAGTATATTATATAAACAGTATATGTAATCCCACAGAATAGATAAACATACTATGGTTATTGCTGTACTTAATTTTCTCCTCTATATACTTAACAATTCTGAAACAAGATTCAGACACTCAGACTTCTCTGAATAATTTTACCAGTATGAAAAAGCTTTATTCTTTGAAGAAATAAAAACAAAATGGTTTATAAAAGTGTATATTGAAATAACTCAGAGGAGTTATTCACTTTTTAAATATTGTTAGCTTTATTTTATGTATAGGAATGTTTTGCCTGCACTTTTGTATGTGTACCATGTGTGTGCCTGGGTCCTCAGCAAGAGCAACCAGTGTTCTAAACTGCTGAACCATCTCTCATTCCTGAGATGGCTTTGCTTTTAGAGAAACACATTTTGAATCGAGTGATATTATCATATAGAGGATAAAGTTGGAGACTAATGTATTATGTAACCAAGAGTTTAGAAATGTCTCTTTCATGTCCAGTGGACAATTTGCATCATTTCTTATTCAATTAACATTTTAATGTATGAATAGCAATATAAACAAACAACTCTGAGGTTACACTGATAGTCATACCTATAACAGTAAACCAGAGTTGTTCATCTCAGCAATTTAACAGTTTATAGCACTAGGTGGTTCTGAAATTCAAAAATATTAAGATTTAATATTACAAAGTGGGTCTCCATCTGTAATTCCTAGTCTTCTGAAAATCAGGTATACCTCTTACTTTTCCTTGAAAACAGTCAAAATGCTACTGTTGTAAAGACTCACTCATGCTCTGAATTCATTTTTATTTTGGACAGCTACAACTCCACGTGTAAGAGTTGTTAGACAGTCATACTGGTTGTTCTGCAGAGTAGAGACATCAGACAACAAACGCAAGTGCTAAACTTTTGACCATGTCCCTTATCTAAGGAGTTGGTAAAGTAGTCTATGTTACCTGAACAGGTGCAATAACAGCACAGGGGCCACCTTCAAACTGTTCTAATGCAGATCCCTCTGATTCACTAAACACAAACCCTAAAAATGAAAGCAAGTAGCAAGGATTAAAAATAATTCCAGTAGCATCTATAAAAGAATTGCTTGTGTACTTTTCTTTACAATCATGTTTTACAATAGTAAAATATCTACAGTTATCAGAGAGAACAACTCTCCTTTTAGGAGACCAAGAGGATTCTTTGGAAAATGTTGTGCAACTATTACCTCTCCTCCAAAATATTTATAAAGTCCTCCCCCAAACCTATGAACCTCTCTGTCTGTCTGTCCGTCCGTCCGTCCGTCCGTCCGTCTGTCTGTCTGTCTCTCATACACACACCACACACACACACACACACACACACACACACACACACACACACACACACAATCATGCAGGCACACACACAATTTCACACCCAGGAACCACTCTATGAAGGGGAGGGCATTAAATTTACTTTATTTCTTGGTTTGATTACTGAAATTAGCTCATACTCAGCACCCAGCTACACCTCCAACCCCTAAATCTTACTTTTAGATAATTTAATTTGCTTGAAGGAAGAGTAGAAATCTACTCTTTCCCAGACAGTATTTTTGTTGTTGCTGTTCATTTCAATCTTTTTTATTTTCGTTAAAATAACTTAGTGAAACACTGTAACGGAGCAGTGGGCTAGGCAGTAGCCAGAGTATTTGCCTATTTGCCTACTTCCTTTTCATCTATGAGTCACATTCTGTAATTTAAAAACTAAATGGCACAATAGTAAGCGTTCACACATTGGCTCTACCTTACTTTCAATATTCCTAATCAACATTAACTGGTATTAGTTAAAAGTATGCAGAGGGCCCCGGGACAGAAGTCAGGAGAATCCACTAGAAACTCTGGAAAAATCATTTTATCTCCTTGAGCCTCAGTGGTCTTATTTTTAAAATGTTCACTTTCAACTTCAATGGGCTAGGGATCTAGTGAATTTTACTAATGGCTAAATTCAGCAACCCAGCAAACATACCCTATTTTATACCTGCAATTCAGAATACATGCAAGACTGCTATGACCTCTGGTCTACAGGAAGCTGATAATCCAGCTGAAGAGACATGTAAATTGGTAACACTTTTTAAAAGACAATGTTATTGTAACAGAAGAATGAAGGACACTATGAGTGTCCTGGGAGCAAAAGTAACAACTTCCTCTGTCTGAGTCACATTTTAACAGATGAACTTGAGGCTGATCGTGGCAGAGGTTTGTCTGGGAGCAAAGATAGGTAAAATATGTGCAGGCAAAGCAAATAACAGTATTAAAAGGAAAAGGGCTGTAAGGGCAGGAAAAGTTGATAGAGCAAAGGGAGATTTAATGCAGCTGAGGGGCAGCTGAGTGGCAGCTGAGGAGCAGGAAGAAGCGCAAACAGGCAGAAGGGAGCACACTACAAAGACCTGCACGACCTGGGGGAAGCTCTGGCTCTTGCAGGTCTACACAGTTTTCTTTGTTTTTAAAAGGATGGAAAGAGAGAAGTTCTTTCTAGAGCCTAAAAGATGGAACTGACCTAATAAAAGCTACCTATGGGTAAGATCTCTTCTCAGATGCCATTTCTCAAATTAAAGTTTAATTACTTTAATGGAACATGCTTGATACAGAGAATAGATATGGACAGAGAAATGAAAGTCGTCTCTGAAGTTTCTACAGAAAAATAAATAACTAAAAATAAAAGCTGAGGATCCAGAGCTTCCTCACCAACCTCTCCTTTAGCCTCTCTTCCAAACAGCAGTTAATGTGTGTTTCACATAGTTTATTAAAAAAATAAGTGATTCTACCAAGAAAGCCATGACAAGCCGTCTCTCTCATTCTTGACCTCTCAGCCCAGCACAACCATCAATATGCAACAGCCTACTTTCTCACCTCAGTCTCCTCAGCTCACAGCATGTGCTCACTGTCAATCCCTGGTTGCACCCAGCTCTCTCTCACCCATGTTCACTGTTGATTCCTCCAGGGTACTCTTAAAGAATCATCTGATGGTGCAGAGACTCGCCTAAAATCATGAGCATAAACTCTGAAGAAACCTGGTCTCATGCATTTTGGTTCTTCTTTTGCACATTTTAATCTGCTTACTCCCAGTCTCACTACAGCACCTCTTAAATGCTGAGGATCCCCAAGGCCTGGCCTTGGGACCATGCATTTTCCTTTCTACGTGTTCTCTCTAGTAATATGCAGAATTTTATCTGCCCCTAACAATTTCATCTACTCTCTCAATTTCCATTACTGATTATAACCACACAGCATCTAAAGTCCTGATGTGGTCCTGCACAGTGGACTTCTGTCTCGCTGTTAGATTCTTCCAGGTCTTCAAGCATGCCTACCTCTGCCTCTCCCACCATGCCTTGGTGCATCTGCTCCTTCTGTCTGAAACACATGCTAGCCAACCCTTGCTGAAGAAATTGACTCTTTGTTTGGCTTCTTCCTTCCTTTTGGCTCAAGGTTCCAAAACCTATCTTCATTGTGTCCATTTCTATACCATATCTAGTCTGCCTTATAGTTCAAACTGCTATCTATCCCCTTCACCTAGCACACTGATGAGTTTCCAACCACACCTTCCGACTCCTTGTCTCTGTAACTCCTCCTAGTTTCTGAAATGGAAAACAAGGCTTGGTCACAACCTGCTTAAAAATCTTTCTATGATCTCTCACTGCAAGTAAAATAAAACCTCCCTTTTCTGGTCTAAAGACATCCAATTCAATGGACCTCCATTTTACGATTACTTTGCTTAGCTACAAAGTCCTTATTAATGCTTTCTCTTTTCTCCAGAGGAAATGCTTCCTTCTCTTCTGCTCTTCATATTTTTCTGGATTCAATTTAGATGCTAACTCCTTAGAGATTTCCTGGCAAACCTAAGTAGTCTACCATTCGTCAGCAGAACCTGCATTTATCATAATCTACATTTATGTTAATTTGTTATACAGGTATCATGTCTTTCATTGATTTTTTTCATCATATGCTCTATAGTCACTGCTTATTAGTGCTTGATGAATTTCTGAAAGGGAAGACAACAAGGGGTGTTTGTAAAGATGCAAAGCAGTTCAGTTTCAAACATGTAAAACAGCATCACTATCTCCTAGAAGTAGGAGATACTGAACCTCAGGGCAAAATTTGGGACTATAGATAGCAACTGCAGTCATCTGAAACAGGTCAGTTAAAGTGAATGCCAACATGCGCTGCGAAGATAATAGAGCTGAGAACATTTTAAAAAAGATGGGTAGAGGCTGTGTCAGCAACGCAGGGTAACAGCTTAGAAAAACAGGCAAGACAGAAATATAGTAGCTGAGGTTCTAGAAAAGAATAATTAGACACAAGAGTAGTCAGCTACAGTGAGAAATGCTAAACCATAAAACACTGGATCAAGCATGCCACTGCAAGTACTAAAAAAAAAAAAAAAAAAAAAAAAAAAGATGGAGCTAGCAAGAGAGCCAGACTTTAAATGACAGAAGGAGAAACAGCAAAAGCAAACTATTTGTGCACAAGTTTCACAGAAGGAAAAAAGGTAGCATGAAGAATTATTTTGACAGGATGATAGCTAAAAGAATGAATGGCATGAACTAAAAAAATGGCATATCCCAGTGCTCAGGAGACAGAGGCTGGTGAACTCTGAGTTTGAGCCTAACCTGGGTCTACTCAGTGAGTTCCAGGCAGCCAGAGATACATAGTTTATCTCAAAACAAACAAAAGCAAATAAAATAAATAAATAAAAGGGGCTGAGTCAATGACTGGTGTGGGAAAAAAGAAATCCTAGCCTGTAAGTCTCATAAGAGGGCTGAGAAAGAACAGCGTGGCAACAATGACTGCCAACTAGACTGAGGTTCTCAAACGAACACCCGCCCCACAGCACTAGAGACTGGTGCAAGGAACCCATCGGAAGTTACAAAAGTTTTCCCAATTTAACCTGACATAATTTTCCACAACCCTGCTAACGTTGTATGCTTTTGTGTCGAGTTCCTTAATTTTAAAGAGTATAACAGGATCCCGAGCTCAGAAAACATGAAGCTAGTCACTTGCTAAATAACAACAGCAAAAAAAAGTGAAGCCACTGACTGGAGTCAAGGGAATGAAGAAAGGTGAGAACTGAGGAACTCTCTGGATGCTAATTCTGAAAAGCACAAGGTCAGCTGATGAGAATGAAGAGTAGAAGCAGTGAGGACTCGGCTGCGGAGTAATTATGTCTGTGCTGATGCCAGACACAGGTTTATCCAGCACACAACACACTGGAGTTCGTGGTAACAATAAATGAAGATCTGGAAGTAGTTGAGATGGATAAAAAAAAATTAATAAGGAAAGTGGGAGCTAAGAGGGCTGATTATCACATTAAGACAATCAAATTTCAGGTTCAAACTAGGAATGAGAAGTGAAGCCATAAGTCTGTACCAAGAGCCAGAATCCACCAGTCCCCACACCTTCTCTTCTGCTAAGCAGGGTTGGGCCTTGTCAGTACTTGAGAGATGACAAGAGACCGTAACTTTTGTCCAATGAGAATAAGGAAGGAGCTCTGGTACTGCATGTAAGTGTAGAGAAGCAATGAGGTTCTACAATCTTTCAGTTTGTGCAATAGGTAATGAATTAGAAATGGATTCTAACCTTCCTTAAAAATTCCACCTGTATTCAAAGAAGTAAAAGCATTATTAAAAATCCTATCAATATAATACAACTGTCAAGATCCATGGGTGGTGCTTACAGTTACAATCACACCACGATGAGGTGAATTGATTTTTACTTCCCTCCTTGAATATGAGTTTGTTAATATACAGCTACTTTTACTGTCCAGTATTTTCATTCAAATTATTTCCTAGATTTAAAAGAAATTTGTTTATCACAAAAGGACATTTTTTCTGATTAAACCTAAAATTACTCATCTAATAATTGATTTGATATATACAGTTTTGTAATGTATTTCACAGTGAAGACATAATCAGTTTCATGTTTTATAGCACCCAATTTAAATGTAAACCATGAACCTTTTTGCAAATTTGCAGGAATTTATTCTCAAGTCTTATCTGCACACATACATATCCCTCCAACCAACTGGATAAGCAAGGTCTCTAAAGTCTTATTAACCAGTGTAAAACCAAACGAACAGACTTGGTTAGATTACTATACACAAGATGGTCTAGGCTAAGTCAAATATCCGAATGAAGTATATTTTCCTTAGCTAATAATGTTGGAAGAAAGATGTCTATACTCTGCTATCTTACAGAGTTATGGCAAAGGTTAAATAAGGTTTCAAAAACCTGTACAACATGACACCATAGTATAGATATTTCAAATCTTTGAATTAGAGAAACTACATTATACTTAGATACCAAGTAATTAACCTTGTGTGTTTGCAAATTGTGATTTTTAAATTGCCTATAAGGTGAATTATAATTTAGTTATGTACAGAAAGGAAAACCTTATATTTTTGGTTGAGAGCCTAGCCTTTAATGGCTGAGCCATCTCTCCAACCCAAGAAAACCTAAGTTCAAACTTTGACCCAAATGATCTGGTAATGAATTATTTATTTGTGTGTCTATGTGTGTCTGTGAGAGGACAACCTGCAGAAGTTGACTCTGTCCTTCAAACATATAGGCTTTGAGGAACAAATGCGGGCGATCAGGCTTGGTGGCAAATACCTTTCCTCACTGAGCTACCTGGTCCATTATAAATTTTTAAATGATCCCTTACTTTTCATAAGTTAAAAATCTTATTTTCCATATTATTTAATAAAGACTGTCCCTTATTCCTGAGAACCTCCAAAATCTAATTTTAGTCAAATACAGCCCTGCCACATCACAAAAAGATCTCTTTTTTCCAGCACACCTTCAAGTGAAACAATAAAACAAATGAAGTCTGGAGGAAGGGACAGAGTGGTTCCTGTGCCCCTGAGATCTAAATTGAGGTCAGGAAAACTCAGTCCTCAAATGCTATATAGGAGATGCTTTGGAAAGCTGAGCCTACACTACCCATGAGGAACACTGAGAATGAGAAAAGGCACTGGCCCTTTGCAGGGAGTCTGCCAAACACTGGGTTACAAAATCAACACTGAAAATTGAACTCCTAGTTTGTTCAAAGTTCCCAAGATCAATACTACTTCTGCCTGATAGAGAAGATGCCAATTTGGGTTCTGCTGGGACCTGATGGTCTATCTGCCAGCTTTCTGCTGTCTCAATGCTACTATTCTGATCAGCAGCATCTCTCCTCCTGGACTACAGGGACCATCCTGATCTTAATCATGTTCCCCACTGTCTACCCTCAGTCACAGCAATCAAATCCACCTTCTAAATACAGAACCTGTGTCTCCTTGCTCCAAAGACTTCCAGTGATTCCTGATTCATTCAGAATGAGGGCCAATGTCTTTATAATGTCTAGAAAACCTTATATGACTACATTACTTTTAGAGCACTTATTCCCCTCTCCTTCTCACTGCTCCACTCCAGCCCCACTGAGCTCCTTCCTGTTGCCTAGTTACCTGTCTGAGAACACTTGGCACTAAGACTTTTACAGGGGTAGTGCCTCTGTCTGGAACACTTTCTCCAGATGCCTGCATGGCTGGCTCCAAGGACTCCAAGTGTTTCCAGGACTCTCTGTCCCTTCACCTAATAACCATAGCAGGCACTCGATGCTTGCTCTCCTATCCCAGGCTTCGGCTGCAAGGGCTAGGGACACCAATGTGGTTTACAGGAAGAAAAAAGTGAGTGGTGTTAATGAACTAAAAAAGTGGAAAAAAATGTTGACCCCAACTAGGAGCCTAAGCAATCGTGGAGAGGCTACTTTAAATACCCTTTCCGTATAATGAGAATGATGACTGCCTTAAATGCCATATAGAGCCTTCACCCAGCAGCTGATGGAAGCAGAAGCAGACACCCACAGCTAAGCACTGAGCCAAACACCTGGAATCCAGTTGTAGAGAGGGAGGAGTGATGAACAAAGGGGTCAAGACCACACTGGGAAAACCTACAGAAACAGCTGACCTGAGCAAGTGTGGGAGCTCATGGAACCCAGTCTGACAGCTGGGGAACCAACATAGGACCAAACCAGGCCCCCTAAGAGCACAGGGCAGTCTATGGGGCCTCTGGCAGTGGAACCAGGATGTATCCCTAGTGCATGAATGAATTTTGGGAGCCCATTTCCCATGGAGGAATACTCTCTTAGCCTAGATACACGGGGGAGGCCCTAGGCCCTGCCCCAAATGACTTGACAGATTCTGATGATGCCTGACCCTCTCTGGGGAACGGATGGGGGATGGGATGGGAGGAGCTCGGTGGGGGGCATGGGAGGATGGGAAGAGAGGGAGCTGGGATTGATTTGTAAAATAAGATTGTTTCTAATTTAAATAAAATACATAATAAAAAAGTAAGCAAATGCTGGGAAATGGTGGCACACACCTTTAATCCCAGTACTAGGGAGGCAGAGGCAGGCGGACCTCTGTGAGTTCTAGGCCAGCCTGGTCTACAGAGTTCCAGAACAACCTCCAAAACAATAGAAACCCTGTCTCGAAAAACCAAAAAACAAGTAAGCAAGTAAATGAACAGGAGGAAACTGAAATGGAAAGCAAATTGTCAAACAAAAAACAGCCAACCTGGACTAGCAAGATATGGCATGTCTTTTATCCCAGCACCCAGGAGGTAAGGCCTGTGGATCTCAGTGAGATCGAGGCCAAATCAAGGTACATGATGAGACTTGTTTAAAGCACAAAATTAAATTCAAACCTTTTATTAAAAGGCGTATTGCTTAAAAAACAAAAAACAAAAAGCTGCAGAGATGGCACAGTAGCTAAAAGCATCGATTGCTTGTGAAGTAGACTGGGTTCAGTCCTCAGCATCCATATGCAGGCTCACGGCCATCCATAACTTCAGTTCTGGGGAATCCAAAGCTCTCTCCGGCCTCTGTGGGCACAAGGCAAGCACGTGGTGCATATGCATACATGGAAGGCAGACATTCATACACACATATTTTTAAGTAAAAAAAGAAAATCAAATAAATTGCTATATAAGGATTGCTCAAAAATAACCCCCCAAAAATGTATACTTCTTTAAGTAAAACTGTCAAATGAACGAAAAATAAACAACTTTGGCTACTCTACTGGCGTATTTTAACAAGCAAAGTAACTTGACTAACACAACCTCATGAATGGAATCTTAAGTATAACTTTGTTTTACAGTAACCATTTTATACCTGCATCTTATTTTCAGAAGACTGGAGGCGCAGCTGTCAATTCGATGCAGTTATCGACCACAAAATCAAGCCGCCTTACTAATACAGCAAGTCAGTGCCCTGGGCCTACTCCCATAATCCCCAGTGACCACCACAGTAACACTTAGCAATGGCCTCTAAGAGTAAGTAATTCTGAGCACCATTAGACTGGCAGAGGAAGTGCTGTGATCCACATTCCTTTTAAATACACAACAAACGATAGCAGACAGAGTCTCACAACCAGGGATACTCGAGTCAAAGTGAACAAGCTGTAGCGAGCAATACCGTGTTTCCATTCGGAGCACCACACCTAACCACAAAATTACAACATAAAACTGCTTTCTGGCATTAGTCACTTGGATCGATATCTCACCTCACCCCACTCCACCGGTCCCCCTAAAAAAACAAAACAAAACGCTGACAACATAAAACTCACTTGGAGACTGGAGGTGTAAAGACCCTGACAGATGGCACTCACACATTGCCTTCCTCCAGGGCCCCTCACCCCTTCACCCCTGCAGCAAATCAGGCCAGTGTGGCAGAGGTGTTTAGGCTCTTTGGTAAATAGCCTCCTTTCCAAGTTCTTCCCATTAAAATCCATTTAGAGCTCCACCTCCAGAACTACATTAAAGGGTCGCGCATTAGGAAGGTGGGGAACCATGGGTACTAGAGTCGAACTCGGGGTAAACGACAGGACAGAGCTGAGGCAACCAAGTCTAACGCGGGGAACCAGAGGTGCAGGGGCTGGGTTACTGTAACCAAGTCTGGGTACTAGAACTGAGTGCGGAGTCCCGAGGGGGGTAGAGGAGGCGTACAAGGATCAAATCTCTGATGTAGCAAGAGTGCACCAAACGCCAGTACAGGGAAAGTGCGAGAAGCCGGGGGCCAGAGCTGGAGTACTGGGACCAAGAGCCCAGCACAGAGCTAGAGTGAGGATACTAGAGGGGCTGCGGCTGGGGTACCAAGCCCGAGTACCGGGAAAGAGTACCAGAGGCTGGAGCTGGGGTGCTGAGACCAAGAGGGGCTACTGGGACAGAACTGGGGTGCCCAAGTGACTAAAGCGGGACAACTGGGACCGCGCACAGGGACTGGTAGAGAAGGGCACTGGGGCCAAGCGCCAGGGACCCGAGGTGGTGGGGCTGGGCGACGATGGAGCGGGGGTCCCGGCCCGACACCCAGAGCCCTGGCGGAGCGGCTCGAACGGCGAGCCCTGTCCCGGTACCTTGCGTCCAGCGGCAGAAGATGGTGTCCGACAGCCCGGGGCTGCTCTTGGTGCCCCACACCAGCTCCAGCAGCTCTTTGGTCACTTCGGACATGATGGGGACTGAGCAAGGGGGTCTTTGCTTCCCGGACTCCGGCCCCGGAACATAGGGACGGGGAGGCTCGAGAAAGGGACGGCGGAACGGCGGCGGCCGGGCGCGACCGGGAGGCCGAACGAGGTGAGGCAACACGCCGACCACAGAGACCGAGCCTGTCAAGCCGGGCGAAGCCGCAGCCTGGAGTTTCCCGTGCCGGAAGTGGCCGGACTTCCGACTTCCTTTAGCCCCGCCCCTCGCGGAGTACCGGGGAATCACTTCCCCGGAAGCAGAAGAGGGTAAAGTTCGGAATTGCTGGGAGTGTCCACCTTGGGAACTGTACGGATTGTGGTGGTTGGACTGTTGGCTTTTGCCCTTCCCTGCCAGGGGACTGAGACAGCCCCTCCTCTCCTGGGCTCTGCTCTACTTTTTGTAGCAGGCTTTGAGACCCCTGCTCTACCACCTGGTCCTTAAATCTAGAATAATACACAAAACTAGAATTATAAGATTATAGCTATGCCCTTGAGTTGGAAGTTGCCTTCCACTGTCCCTTGATACAAGATGTAAAATCCAACCAACTCATTACCTGGTTACACCTGTAAATGCATTCGTGTATTAAAAATAACTGCAGGTGTAACGCACATTACAGAGCTAGCAGGAGCTAAGCTGACCTAAAGTAACCCGTTTGTAAATGGCACAGATTTCATCTCTCATATTTTGAGACATGTGGGGCCCAGAACAGCTTGGACACACTGCTATGTGTTGCCATGGCAGACTTAATAGAAACAAGCTAAAAGGGCCTGAGTTTCAGTTTACTGACAGGCAGCACTGAGTTCCACGAAAAGCCATAAACTGATACCACCCAGGGAGGGACAGCATCTAAAAGGGGAGTACCTGATATTCCAAACATCCCAACCAGTAGTTATGACCACCAGATGTCCTTGAGCTGTGATAAAACACCATGATCAAAGCAACTTATAAATGAATGGGTTGAATTGGGCTTAAACTTCCAGAGGGTTAGAGTCTATGATGGTGGAGTGAAGGAATGGCAGTAGGAAAAGCTGAATAATCACATCTCAAACTGCAAGCAGGAAGCAGATGGCACACTGGGAATGCCATTTGTCTTTTGAAACTTCAAAGACCTCCCCCCATAACACAGTTCTTCCAACAAGGCCATACTTCCTCATCTTTCCCAAATATTTTCACTAGTTGAATACTAAGTACTTAAACATAGGACCCTATGGGAGCTCTGCTCTGCTCTGCTCTGCTCTGCTCTGCTCTGCTCTGCTCTGCTCTGCCCAGGGTCGCCTCTGCTTGCTCTGCTCTGCTCTGCCCAGGGTCGCCTCTGCTCTGTCCCCGCAAAAGAAGATCTTCACCTGAAGCTCATCCAAAGGGATTTATTGGAAGGCAGCTGGACCAGCCAAGCTGAACATACACAGGGTTTATATAGGGATTCTTGGGGTTGGGGAAGTTTTTCCAGAGTAGGGATTGGTCCGATTTCAGTGCTGAGCTCAGATTGGCTAGAGCTCTGCTCTGGGATTGGTTACTTTTTTACACAGGATTAGGGTCAGATTTGGCTCTGGTTTCAGGGCCAAAGTGTGTTTCTTTCTCTGGTTCTTTTTAGCCTTTTGGCTCCAATTTTAGGGCCAGGGTACATTTCTTTCACTGACTCTGATTCCAGGGACAAAGTATGTTCCTTTGGCACTGGTTTTAGGGTCAGGGTACATTTCTTTGGTTGTGGTTGCAGGGCCAAAGTGTGTTTCTTTGGCTCTCCTCAGGGTGTGTTTCTTTGACTGGTCCCTTTTCCCTACAATGTGTTTAGAATTGACTGTTTGGGTTGGATAACTTGTCCTTGGAGAAAACCGATTCTCCCTCTCTGAAGAACCCTTGATTTGCCAATAAATAGCTCTCTATATAGAAGTGGGACCATGTGAAAAGTCCCTGGTCTCCATTAGCATGTCAGCAGGTCGTTATGCAGATCTTTCGTAGGCAATCATATTGCTGTCATTTCATGGGTACAGCTTCCCCACATCTATAGAACCCCATCCGGCATCAGGGAGCCTGATCTTCTGTCTCTTATAATCTTGTGCCCCTCCTTCTGTGATTTTTCCTGTGAGGAGTACAAGCCTAGTTGCAGAGTATCTATTGTAGTTGAGCACTCTATGGTCACTTATTCTGTGTTTTGGGCAGCTGTGGGTATGTGTAATAATTTCCATCTGTTGCAAGCCAACAAAATAACTTCTTTGATGAGAGAGAGGTAAGAGCTACACCTACCTATAGGTATAAGGATAAGGTTTAAAATATAGAAATTATTTTGGGAAAATGACAGTAATGGATTCTCTACTAGAGTCTAGACCTCTCCAACCATAGACAGTTGGATATGCTTACAGTCCCAGGCATGAATTCCCTCCTATTTAGGGGTTCTTAAATCTATTTCTTCGTCTGTTATTTAACTCAGGATGAAAGTGCTGCTATTGCGCCATTAAGGATATCTTGTCTAGCTAGTTAGTCATTGTTATGATTTGTAAGCTTTACAGGACTATTTATAGGACTATTGGTTGCTTCTCCTCCTAGGAAACTTGCATAACACCTTCTGATACTATTGTGTCCAAATTCTGAACCCCCCAAATCACCAAGAGACCCATTCCGATGCAAAAGCAAAGAGCCTTTTATTGTTTAATGAGCTAACCCCATTAACTCAGGCCCTTCATTGGTTCATCAGGGCAGATGGCTGTAGAAGGACCCTGGAACTTATGGGGCAGCATAAGTGAAGTATATAGGGGTAAGCAACGGTCTTGGGATTGGTAAGCTTTTGGGCTTGGATGACTTGTCTTGTGTTGATTGGTCAACTGTTTGTTATGGCCTATAGGCCTTTCCCAGGGCAGTTGCTATGCTCTGCATGTCACTGTTATGCCACTTTTACCATAAAGCACTCCCAGACCCATAAAGCACATCCACAGTCCCACCAGCTAACTTTTGATTGGTTCCTTGCCAGAGGAGGGTATCTGACCTCCTAGTGACCAGGGCAGGCCCTGTCTGACATGTGCTGAGTCAGAGGCCTGCATGTCTTTTCTGCAGCCTGTCATGGCCACTAAAGCAGGGGGCTGGGGGCTGGGGGTGGAGGGGTGTTCCCTTCATTTTGAGAGCTAGTCTTCAGGGAGGAGATTTCTAGGTCAGTTCCAGTTTGGTTCTTCTCAGTCCAGCATCTGAAGTGTGTGGTGTTTTCAGGAGTATGGTCTTTCAGAAGGTAAACCCAGAGCAATGCCAATAGTCAATACTGTCTGGGGAGTCTCTTGGACTCCCATGACCAGCAAAGAAAGGTTTCCCAGGCCTAGCATTGGGGGTTTGTTAGATAGTCTATGGCTCTTGAGGGGAGCATGATCACCCTGTGTGACACACACACACACACACACACACACACACACACACACACACACACACACCTATATCTTGTAAAGCATTGTCTATTTTCTCTCTAGCAGTTTTAGTGTTAAAAAGAAGAGGAAAATATCTTGAACTGTGACTTTTCTGAATTTTCATTTATACTGAAGGAGGCAGATCTCAAGCAGATACTGATTAATGTCCTTGTCATTTCTTTTATACTGTATCTATTATTTTTGGTGTTTTACATTTTAATTAGGAGTGCATATTTTAGCAGGTAATATTAAATTAATGTCTAATTATTTATTGTCTTATTTATTCCTTAACTGAAACATTTAAATTGTGTCCTCCTTTTACAATATAAATATAAGTTTTTGTTTATTCAAAAATGTTCTTATTCAATAATTTTATAATAATAAATATGCACTATCTCATGGCAAGGGAATTGCTCATTATAATTCCTTAACTCTGTTTAATTGCTTTCCTTGTCTTTCTCCCAAATTTCTTTCAAATTTAAGTACAGTTTCGTTGTCTGTTCCTAATGACTATGGGAACAATTTTCCAATAGGAGTCCCAATCTCCTAAATTAGTGCATTTCATTACACTAAAATAAAAGAAAAAATTTCAAAAACCTACCATGTAATAAAATACTAAATCCTATACAGGTCTCATCCCCGTGTCATTAATGAAGCTTACTCATATATTCTCTGCCTTCCAGTAAGACCAGAAATCTTAACAAAGTTAATGAATTTTACTTTGCATGACCCTTAATTCTGCTCACCTCAATTTTTATACTGAGTACATGAGATCCCTTTCAAATCCTCCATGGTCACATTCAAGTGTGGCATTATTATATCAGCATTTCCTACCAACATGACTATATTGTAGGAAAATAATGTTACCATTAACTGCTAACCAATGAATTTAAGCACATTGTTTAATTGGAATGCTCCAGAAATGGCAAGTATGCTCAGCATTAAAGGAAGGCATTTGAGTCACTATCTTTCTGGAATAGTTTATGTTCTGGAAAAGACTGTCAGGGAATCAGTGGAATAACAGAATAAACTTTAGAGTAGAAGAAAAAAATCTAAACCTACCAGCTATGGTACTGGTTATCAATTCCCTGTCTGTCCCTTGCTTTCTTCATCTGTAAATTAAGGACTACACTTAGATAATTTCTCAAGTCCTCATCCACTCAATCAAGATCTCATAACTTCTATTATTCTAAAAATAGTCCATCTTCAACTGAAAGCATATAAAAAAGAATATTGAGAGATAATGTGGGATAAATTGTTGTGATATGCAATAGTGAACATTGGATGTAAAAATAGAAACAGTGAAAATACCCTTCTTATACAACCTATTGATTTAGAAAAATAACATAAAGGAGAAAAGGCAAAATAAGAATTATTCCGTCATTTCAATTAGAGGAAACCAGAAAAATTCAAGTTGGAGAGAATTTTGACTAAGGAATGAGAAAGATGACCCTGCAGGAAAGAGGCTTGCTTGCAATCATGATGAGCCCTGGGTCTTATGTAAAGGAGAAAACTGACTCCACATGTACGTTGTAATATGCACACCTCTACACACACCATGTATGTATACAATAATATTTTAAAGGAAACGCTATATATATGCATACATATGTGACTTTAGGTATGAGACATTATTATGAAAAATTCTGATTTTTCTGTAGTGAGAAAGATACAAGTCAGGAACTGAACTGTCTTTCGTGAATTCTACATGTTTAAAGCCTAACCACAAAGGCAATGGGGGATGAGACATTTCAGTAGATAATTCAGGTTCAATGAAGTCATAGGGTTGGACCTTTATTCAATAGGACAAGCATCC